TTTTCCGAGACACGATCTTGTCGTACGATCGTGAAACGCGCGAATTGCGAGTCTATGTCACGTCGAGTACGCTGCATTGTTGCGCGTCTCAAGTATTCCCGTCTATTATCATATTTCTGTTTGTATTTTCGAATGTAATATTCGTCCGCTTAATACACTTGTTATTTTTATTGTTAATTATTACTGTCATTTCTTTCAGCCTATTCTCGCTCCCCCGAACCTTGACCGTTTTCCTTCGAATCACCCCCTTTACCATTATCGTAACTGAGCAACCGGTTACCGCCGTCCTTGTCCGACCGCTGTATTGAAGTTGCACCTGACCGCGTGATTAACTAATCTTCTTTTGAGTCATTAGATTTCCGAACACCGAGATTTTCAGTAGAGAGGCACTCTCTATAACGTGCCTGGCGCCCAATTTTTGTTCCCGTTTTCGATAGGCGAGATGCCTGAGTTACGGTTAATCGCGCATTAGATTTCCTTTTATCGTTTTCGCGGAATTACGCGGGTCGGACGAGCGACGAAGTTGCACCACGCTCGTGAGTGCGGTCGCACTACTAAACGATGCAAGCGATGATTTTCTTCTTTTAGACTAAGTAATTCAGTTTGCAGATCGTCTTTTTCTTTAGTCAAAAGTTTTATTTTAATTTCTAAATTTGATTGCGCTTCTTGTGTGAGAGATGATACATTCTTTTCTTGATCGGTTGATTTTACCTTTTTTACAGCAGCCATGATCGATACTTGATTATCACGAATGCTCTTTTTTTTATTTTTTGCATCTTCTTTTTTTTTGTTCACGACTTCCTAGTATGCAGAATATTTAATTAATTTAAATTTAACTGATACAGATTGAATATGTTGCTTCATTATAACATAGAAAAACATTCTTAATGCGAATAATAATAATTCAAAAATGGAATAAAGAAAAATTTTCAACGTACATCTTTCGTTTTATTTGTAGTGAAGCATTTATCGTTTGCTGGAAATCTCTTGCAATGTTGTTGCTTGTCACTCTTCGTCGGTGTCATCGTATCATATTTATCAATATTATCACGACACACACACATGTCACTCCAACTTATCAATGTATTACATATTTTAACACACACGTTATATAGCATAATTATTAAAAGAAATTGAAATTGGCATTCGGAGATGATAATCAAACGTTGAAACGCAGGACCAAAATGCAGCAACTCTTGAGTAAACTTTTGTAGCATTTTGAGTGTCTCAAATAATGTTGAGTATTGATGTTTATAAAAATATTATCACTCTTAACCTAATGTAACTTGTAACTCTAAAAATACCAGAAAACTTTACTCAAATACTACGCTTCGACATTCAGCTGCCAATTTCGGATTATAATTATAAAATGAAATATTTGAAATTTTTAACAACACACATATATACACGAGCATCGAAATAATACAACAATACGCAATTAATACAATTCTCCAGGCACTGGCAGTAGTCGAAAATTGTATAAATTGTATAAAATTTAATAGAGCATTTTCGTTGCTGATATATATATAAATCCATCAAGTGCAATTAAGTAAACTAAATAAATTTTTCTATATTACGTCAAGATTTTAAGAAAACTGCATCTTCAACAAAAACATTTCTAACCTTATTTTGTTTAATGTAATATTATAACTAAACAATTTACCAAAAAATTTTGATTCAATATTGATTTCATTATTGTGTACTTACCTCCAGTTTTTAAAATAATGGCTGGCACATTCGTCCAAGTCGCATTTTTTAATTTCTTAAGATCGGAGGTATCAGGCCACTTTATTTTCAAAACTTTTTTTGTCGTGATGACCTCTGCAAGGAACTCTTCGTTTTCGCAATTGTCGTCTAATATCCAATTGACATAACCTACTCCAACTCGATCTTCTTCGGAAAAAAACAACGTTGCCATCGGCGAAATCTCCTTTCGTCGCTGCATTTTAACCGAAAATAGTATATACTTCGCACAATTAATTCGATATCTTCAATATTTCACAGACACCGACTTTTTTTTTCTGCGACTCGTTGTCTCGTGAACTCGCGCGCGCAACGATGCGCATGCGCTTTCCCGCGTTGCACGTACAGCCGGGCCGCCCACGCGAAAATTGTGAGAGTGAGGGAAGATCTCCACTGTTCAATTGTTGTCTGATTATATTATAAATAAACTAATTATACAATAAGTAAGAGGCGATTTTTCGGCGATTTTTGGATATATTTACGGAATTAGAGAAGCAACTTCCAACTTGTATAATAATATATGTGGTTCAGTTCAAAAGGTAACAAATTTACATGATCACACGAGATTTGAAAAATGGGCATAATTATAAAATAATTGGAGTACAAATATAAACTTTTACTCCAATCTGTCTGTAAGGTTAATGTTACGTTGTTGAAAGCAAAAACAAATTGTTTTTAGCAAAAATTTTTGATATATAATATAAATTATTAAACAAAATATTGGACTTCCGCTTCCGGTGCGATAGTGAGAACGCGTGTTGCATAGAGACAAAAGCTGGGAATACAAAAAAAAGGGTTTAAGAGTGAGTGAGAGAGAGAGTGTTGGTGAGGCAGAGAATAGAGGTGTGAGAGAGTGTGGGAGAGTGAAGGGATAAAGGGTGGAGCTGGGAACGTGGAGGATTAGGGCGGAGAAGGTGCAGGGAAGAGAGTAGAGGTTAGGTAGGAACTGGGGCGGAGAGGCAAAGGGGGGAAAAGATAGCGCCACTGAGCAGGCAATACGTTATAGAGCATAGAGTACAGAGTGTGTAGAGGGCGCAAGGTAGGAACAAAGCGAAGAGAGGAAGGAGGAGAGAGAGAGGGAGAATGGCAGATAGGAAGATGGCGCTGAGCGGTGGCGAGGAGAGCAGAGCGAGGGAAAGAAGTAAGAGCGTGGGAGGTAAGAGTATGGGAAATATAGAGGAGTTTTT